CTTCCTTTTGTTTCCCACCCACCCAAGAAAGCCTCCAATCAGCTCCCTGTGTGTCACTACACTCATCACTCAAATTCCGCCCCTACCAAGTCCATAAAGTCTCAGGTTCCGTGTCTCGGGCCAGAGGATCTGCTTATCTCCCAGCCCTGGATCCTGTCCCTGTGTTTAGAGTTAATAAAATTTTCCTCTCCCCTTATTTCTCCTTCTCTTCTGTGCTGCTCCCATTACTGTTGCTACTAAAACCTATCATTTTCTACAAAGGTGAGTATTATTATTAAATTCTACCTCAAGAAACGTTTTCCTTATTAATTTATATCAAATGGCTTTTTATACGGAACGTACTTGTCTGTATGATGTCAAAAAGTATGCTGAAAAAGCCCTCAATTTACAGATCAAAAAACAGCAGAGAGAATCACTTAACACCAGAAGAGGTAAGTCTGAGTGCACATTTTACCTCAGCTTTCCATCTGCTCTTCAGCTCACAAAGGGTTTTCTTAATAAGAGGACAATGCATACTGTCATTAAGCTGGCAAATTGTGACACAGTTTGGAGAAAGACTGATTCTCCTGAACGCTGACAACTGGAGGTAAACTGAAAGAAGATAGCTTTGAAAAATGTACTAAGCTTTTAAACACATGTTAGGCAGTAAAACCAACATATACTGCAGGGAATGGTGCCACATGCTTGTACTATCAGCACTCTGGAGGCTGAAGCAGAAGTATTGTTGTGAGTTCGAAAGCAACCTGGGCTACATGATTTCCAGGCTTCTCTGAATGGCAGAGTGGGAACTGCACTCAAGAAGCCAACAAAAAAAACAGAGAAATAACAACCATGACTGACATAACTCTCTGTGCTTTTCAAGAATATGACAGGCTAATAGGGCACATGCTACTAATACTACATTCATTAGCACCTTGTAAAAACAAATAAAAAGTGAAAAAGCTTACTAAGAGTTATATCTAATAATTTTTAAAATTTATCTTAAAAGTACAAGCAGCACTGCACTGGACTTCTTTACAAAAAGTACGTAAAAAGCTTGGTGTCCTGGCACATACCGACATGCACAGTATGAGGGAAGTTGAAGCAAGAGGACCAGCCTGAGTTGGAGCACAGCCTGAACTACGTACCCAGCTCGATGCTAGCCTGAAGGAAGGAGATAATTCAAGCCTGGCCTTGAAGTATGCACAAAGACCCACCATCAAAAAAATTATAAAATCTCCTCCTTCCATGTATTATAAAACTTAGGTTAAAGAGAAATTAATGCAAATCAGAAAGGAACCTGGCTTCCAAGGAAATCACTGAAAAATAAAGCTTCCAGAATTTTGACAAGAACAGCACCTAAATAAAGAAAGGCATCAGGATAAAATCACAGGGCCTAAGCTTCCACGCTTCCCTAAGGCATGAGTAGAACATGACAGTAGTGTAATGAGTCCTGCCCAGGACCTTAAAGACAGATATCCATCAGATACACAGCCAGTGACCAGCCAGAGACCAGCAACAAAGACTTCCAAAAACATCCCTGTTTCAGAAGTTACAGAGGAGCCAAGGTTTATAATCAGCCGTATACCCTCACTACATGTCCCTCTTCCCAACTGGGTCACCATTAGGTAATTGGTCATGCTTATAATCCTCTTGTTGACTGTAGTTTGACCCGTGTTGTATGCACATTGTGATATTTCTGTATGCAATAGCCCTGAGATGGGGCCTCTGCAACAGTCCCCTTGGGACACCTCTTGTCTCTCAGGACCTCCTGTCTCTCAATAAAACTTTGCTAATCTTAACTTCCTTGGTCTCTTGGTATTCATGCTTTTTACTTCAGGGAACATGAACTTCACTTGTCTGATAGCTAGAAGTTTAGGAGTTCCATTTCTCTTATATCACATATATGGGAAGACAGCAATCCCATCAAAAAGAAGACCAGATGCCCAATTACCTAAATGTATAAATCATTATGTAGTATTCCCACAATAGGGAAAAGAGTGCATGCAGTCATGGAAGTACAGATGTCAGTCAGAAACACTAAGTGATTAAAAAGGGAAGAGCATTTTTACTCTTTTATGTAATTATTCATTTTGCACAGTTCAGACTCAATTATCCTCCTGTCTCAGCCTTCTAAGCACTGGGATTACAGGGATGTACCCCCATGCCCTTTTTCAGAGGCAGGCATTGGGAACCCAGGGATTGAGGCCAGCAGATGGAACCCAAATACTTGTGCTTGCCAGGCAGGCGCTTAGACAGCTCAGTTATCTCCCAGCATGAGAAAAAATTTTAAAAATAAATACAATCCATATAGGGTTTTGGAATAGACTAATTTTTAAAAGAAACAAGCAGAACCTCTGAAAATAGCTTTATAAAAAATTGACCAACAATTAATTTTTTTCCACAAGTTCCAAAGTAAAGAGCAGATTCACTTTATAAGACAGTAAGTAAAAAGCTCAAAACCAAAACTTTACTTCAAGGAGCTGAGTTATAGTCAACAAATTATCTGTTTTACACTAAATGTCAAAAAAGGAACTAGATGTTGTCTATCTGATAAGATGACCTACTTCTGTCAGTCTAATGAAAGGTGACTCACTTGTGACTACTGTTTTCCTTGTCCTTTGGGGCACTGAGATGCATGTTCCTCCATTTCCCAATGAAGATATAAATTTGGAAGGCCACAATTCATATGCTATGAGGTAATACGGGAGCACTAGGATCATAAGACAGTGAATTCATACCATCATTTCGGGAATTTCCCATTTTCTCAGAAGGATACAGGAAAATTGCAAATGAGATAGCTACTCACTTCAGGAAAAATGAATTTTAACAAACCTTAATCCTTAATCATATCGTCCTCAATTTCAATGGAATGTGCCCAGAAGCTGCAGCCTGATCAGGAACAATGGCTCTTGGGCTTTTGGTGTGGAGAGTCCCTGGCTCTGTGCCTCTGTACCTTCTGTCACCCACTCTCTGTTCCTGGCTGTCATGTATCGAGCAGTTTTCCCCTCCAATGTCCAAAGCCATATTGGATTTGCCCAGGGCCAGGTACCTGTAACTCAGTTCTCTGAAGCTGTGACATAAACTAAATCTCTCCTCCATAAGCTGTGCCTGTCAGGAATCTTCTTTAAGCCTCAGGAGTGTGACCAATACACCAGTTTTATTGCCATACAGAACTTCAAGTCCTAATCAGAAAAACTAGACTAGAAAAAGAAGGAAGAGGCTTTCATAGTAGAAACAAGAAGGTACAATTTCTTCTGTCTGCAGATATCATATTCTTATACATAGAAAAATCTAGGACTATACTGAGAAAAATAACTGGTAAACAATGTTAGTAAAATTGCAGGATACAAAATCAACATAGAGAAACTATAAATACTAACTAGGCACCATGAAAGAAGCATTAAACAGAAGCCCACTTGGAAGAGCATGGAAAGAAAAATATTTTTAGCAAGAAATTTAATGAAGAATGTAAAAGATCTGCACATTAAAAAGAGTAGCATCCAAATGAATAAATAGCTGACCATACTCACCACCAGAAGAATCAATGTGGTCAAACTATCTATACAAACCTAGAAAATGCATAAGTTCAATGCAATTTCTTAATATCCCAACAGCATTTTCCATATGGAAGCAGAAAAGTTACAAAATTTGACTGGAAACAGTGAAGACTTGAACTAGCTAAAGGAATCTTGAGCAAGGATTAAGATGGAGACCTTACATTCCTGAATTTCAATTGTATTGCAAAGCTTCAGCCATGAAAAAAATATCCTGCTGCCTTAATGAGATATCCCCACCAATGGAATATAATAGCTATCTAAGATGAAATCCTGCTCTTAGTACCAACTAATGCTTGGGAAAGACACAAATTGTACACAAAGGGAGAATCTTAATCTGTTCAATAACTGGCAGTGGTTACACTAGGTAAGTGCACACTAAAACTAAAAACCAATGGGATCTTTATCTTATATCATCCACAAAATGCAACCCAAGAGAATGGAAACCTCAAACAGAACACACTAAACATAAAACAATTGGAAAAAATGTGGTGTGAACGCTCCCTCCTGCTGTATTTGAGATCATTTTTCGATTATGACACCAGAAGGATACAGCAAAGACAGCTAAAGCAAAAGAAGCACACAACACTGCATCCAATTAAAAAGATTCAGCACTGCTAAGATTGTGCACTGTGTAGGAAACAACTGAATGTGAAGTCAGCTGTCAAAATGAGAGAAAAAGGACCTGTAAAACTTCTACTTATCCATTGGGATTAACATTCAAAATCCAAGAATCAAAGTCAGTAAACCCAGAAACCCTCATAAAATTTGCAGATGAAGACAAACAAGTAAACATGTAGATTAATTAAAAATATTCAGTAGACTTGAGAGACTAAGGCAGAAAGATTCTTAGACTCTGAGGCTATCCTGGGCTACATAGTTTGTTAAACATCAGCCAGATCTCCACGGACTGACCTAGTCTCAAGTTACAAAAAAAAAAAAAGGAAACAGCTTTGGAGCAATTGCACCCAGGGCGGGGTCTTCCCTGAGGTCCTCTTTCTCTAGGGGGGTGCTACAGGGACAGGTGAGGGAAAGAGGCCTCCAGCACTTTCTATTGGGTTTGGCCTCATTCTGAGATCCTCCAACCAGAAAATACCCAGATGGAGGACACGCCTCTCCCCATCTGGCTGCAGCCCTCTACTCTGACCACCTCTCCCTTTTATACCACCTGTCTCCTTTTGTGGCCAGCACTCAGAGCCCACACTGCAATCCGGAAAGGCAAGAGTGGCCACCCGTGACCGGGATCAAGAGGACTAAGAGAAAGGGAAGAGCTGCACGAATCCTGCTCTAGGACCATCAGTGCAGTCTCCTGGCCCTGCAGCGCAGTCTCCTGTGCCTGTAGCACGGTCTACTGGAACTGTAGTGAGCTCTCCAGGGCCTGCAGGGTGGTCTCCTTCGCCAGCAGTGTCTTCGGTCCCTCGGCTTCCCCTGCACAGCATCCCGACCAGATCTTGCAGCCTAGCCATGAGCTGCTTTGGAATCTACTGGAGAGAACGCGAGGGCGAGAATGAGGAGCTACATGAGGTGAGAAGGACACACAAACAACTGAAGGAAGACAAGCACCTCCATGGACCCACACACCGCCTGCTGCTGCTGGGGCCCGTGGGATCTGGCAAAAGCACGCTTTTCAAGCAGGTAAAGATGTTGCATGGGCCAGAGTTTGATAGAGCTAGTGAGCGGGCCTCTGAAGTGCAGAAGATCAGAAACACCCTGAAGGAAGCAATTGAAAATGTCCTGTTGGCCATGAGCAGCCTGCAGCCCCCAGCGGAGCTGGCCCACCCTGAGAACCAGTTCAGAGTGGACTACATCTTGGGCACCAGGGACAATCCCAGCTTCAGTTTCCCACCCGAGTTCTTTGAGCACGTCAAGGCGCTGTGGGAGGATGAGGGCGTGCACTCTTGCTATGACCGCTGCACGCAGACCGGGATGCTGGACCATTCTTGCTACTTTCTGGACAAGATCGACGTCATCAGGAAGCCTCACTATAAGCCCAACCCCGAGGATCTCTTTCACTGCCACCTCCACATCCCCAGAATCTTTGATACCATGTTCAAAGTGGAAGAAGTCAACTTCCACATGTTGTATGCCAACGGGCTCTACTACACCAACCAGGTATGGGCCGAAATCCTCAAAAACTTCACTGCCATCATCTTTGTGGTGGACAGTAGCAGCTACGACCAGAACTTTATGGGAGTCAACAAACTGCAGGAGGCTCTGAACATTTTCACGTCCCTCTGGAGCAGATGTCCCCACCCCTGCCTTGTGCTCCTCTTCCTCAACAAGCAAGATCTGCTGGCTGAGAAAGTCCTTGCAGCAACATCGAAGATCGAGGACCACTTTCCAGAATTTGCCCATTACACTATTCCTGATGATGCTCCTGAGCCTGGAGAGGACCCCCACGTGACCCGGGCTAAGTACTTCATCCGTGACAAGTTTCTGAGCATCACCAGTGCTGGGGGCAATGAGGACAGCCACTGCTATCCTCAGTTCACCTGTGCCATGGACCATAGGAACATCCAGTTTGTGTTCAGCAAGTGCGCCCCGCTTCTCCTGCACTCAGTGAATGAAAGGAGCTGCTTTCAGGAGGGAACTGAATTTAATTAAAGCCTAACCTAAATCAGTTTTGTAAAATTCAGGATCCTTGGTACAATTTGTGTCTGTTAATGATGTATGTTGATTCCTCTTTCTAAAAATCCTATTCCCAGACCTTCTTTCCAAACTGCCTTGCCCTTCATGGTCAGATAGCACAGTTTTCCTTTCACCCTTCTTTGCTCATTGTTTCATTGCCTTCCTTCCCATCACCTGTGTCCTCCCTATTTCCCTTTTCCTTTTCAAGAGCTTCTTCCTAATCCACAGTATCTGTTGTAAATTTGTTCTTTTATATACATATTCAGTTTCTTATTCCAGAGATATAATGCTATGTTTGCATATGTGTGTCTAATTTATATCACCAATCATTATGGTCTCAATTTGATATACTAATAAACGTTTCAATTTTACCTTTCCTTATGTCTGAGTAATTCTCCATTTCTATAAATTTTAAAAACCACACATCTTTTTATCCATTCGGTGGTTGGAATACATTTGGGTTTCTTCCAAGATTTAGCTATGAGACACTGTGTAGGGGTCAACATGGCTGTCTATATCTCACTGTTTTGTGATGCTTTTGATTCTTCTGGGACAACGCAAAGCATGGAAATAAACTCAATTAATTTAAAGCGATAGAAGAAACAGTTATGGTGGCGACGTGTTGTAGTCAACATCTAGAAGTAAGACAATGTGGGCTGGAGAGATGGCTCAGTAGAATAAGTGCTTGCCTGGCAAGCACAAGGTCCTGAGTTCAATCCCTGGTTCCAAAAAAAAAAAAAAAAGAATAGAAGTAAGACAATGTAATATAAGACTCATTATTTGTAGGCTTCTTCTATCAGTCACCTAAAGAGTCAGCTACAAAAGAATGCAGAGAATCTGTCCACGTGTGAGAGAACAAAAGAATCCACCTGAGGGTCTGCATCACATGGCATTGGAAGTCCATGAGTCCAACCAGAGTCCTAAATCCCATGACAATGTCTCAAGCAAGTTTGTTGCATAGAATTTCAGTAGAAAAACACAAAGCCATTGGAGGAATCTAGAAAATTTTTGCCCATGGGATGAGACATCTCTGTTAGCAGGCTGAGGTATCTGCATTCGATCCAGGAAATTATACTTACTGTAAGAGCCAGAGGTTCCATAAAAGGTACCATAGTCTTTCTCGTTAAAGCAAGGTCCCAAGCTCCTCTGACACTGAAAACACCTAAAAAAGTAACAGGAAAACATTCTTGCCAATCTCCTCTAAAGACTGTTAGGTACTCTTCTTTCTTTGCTGGGACAAATACTTGACAGACAAAATGAGCAAAGGAAAGGTTTATTTAGCTCACAGCTTACTGCAGGTTTCAAGACACTGCCCCTGCCCTACGGGGTCTGGAGGAGAGGCTCAGGTGCTGCCATGTCCAGGATGACCCTCCTCACATCTCTTGAGGGAGTCCACTGGCTTGAGAGAGGGGATAGGCAGAATGCATGCTGCCAGTTTAATGGTTCGCACCTCTCTGGCCACACCCCTCAAGCCACACACTACTCCTCAAGCGGCTGCCATCCCATGATTTACATGAGGCTTTAGGGGGACAACTAGGTACAAACTGTAACAAATACTAAACAGTGCAATGTCTTTCCCTCTGGAGGCAAGAAGTAATGTGCAGAGTAAGAACCAGATCTCCCCAAAGTGGACCTCAGCCATTCTAAGTGACAAGAAGGACTCAAGCTTCCTTGACAATGAGAAGAGCTGAGTTCGTATCAGAGAAGAAGCCTAGATCCATCCCTTCCTAAAATAACCCCATTTAAAAAACAAAAAAATAAAATAAAATAACCCCATTTAGAAGTGATAGATAAGCCAAGGTTCATCTTGTCAGTCATGTACAGTTGCTTAATGCCCCACTTCCCAACTGGGTGTAAATGGCAATATGGAGCTACCTGTAAGCCATAGGTTTATTGGAGTTTGAACCATGTTGTATGCTCATTTTGATTTTGCTGTATATGACACCTCTGGTGATTGACCTCTGTGGCAACACATTAGCATCCCCTACTGTCTCTCAGGACAACCTCATTCTCAATAAACTGTTCCTACTCTTAACCTGAGTTCTCCCTTGAAATACATCCTTGATATCAAGTTACACAGACGACCCATGTGTCATATCCAAAATGTTGGCAGTTATGCTTCTCTTCCTTCATTTGGGAGGTTCCACCATGATATTAGAAGGAAGAAAGAGTGTGCTGTTTTTTCATAGCATCTCAAAATACTTTCTCTTGATTCTTTATTGTGAATTATTGAAGTAATCAAAGCTATCATCTGTGCTTTGCTGGTTTTGCTTTTCATCAATTGCTTGAGCTTTGTAAAAGTTAAGAGCTGGACAACTTGTGATGAATTTCAATTTGTCTTTTTTCGACAGGACATTTTTTGTTTTTTTATATAGGGCCTTCTTTTGCTGTTTCCTTATAGCTGCATTGAGGCTTACTTCTATACTCCTTGGGGGACTTGCCTCCATTCATTTCCTGATTTGTTTGGCAGTCATGAGAAGGCTTGTGGTTCTCTTTTAGACAGCATGGTGGAATCATTGTTTTACTTTTCTAATTGTTTTCTGGCTTTTACATATATGTCTAAGGATTCAGCCAGAGGCCACGGAACAGGTTGTGGAAGTTCCCCTCTGTTGGAGATGATTGTTATGTGTGTCAGAAAGTGCTAGTGTGCTTCTCTCTGCAATCCTGAAAATCTTTTCTTGCCTTTCCAATTAGAATGTCCTGAAGCAGCCAAAAGGTGACCTAGCTCTAAGAGAAGAAAAGATAGGCAGCCTTTACAGCCTACATAACCCTAATCTGTGGGCTTCAGGGAGTCATAGTCTGCACTCATCCATGAGGCACACGAGTGTTTTGATTGAGCAGGTGTCTGGTAAGAAAGTTCCTATGTGACAGGGTAGAGAGAGCCTCATTCAGCTGTTTCGATCATTGTATTATTTACTCTTCTCTCGTTGCTGTGACAAATACCTGACACTCAAAATAAGGGAAGGAAAGGTTTATTTAGCTCACAGTTACTAGAGGTTTCAAGATACTGTGGGAGAGGCTGGGGTGCTGCCATGTCCAGGATGATCCTCTCCACATCTCTGAAAAAGCATGGGCTAGCCAGTTTAATGGTTCAAGCCTCTCAGCCCCACCCCTCAATCCCTGCCCTGGTCCTCTGGCCCCACCCCTCAAGCCACTTGCTGCTCCTCCAGCCCTGTCTGTCCCCCAACTTACATGAGGCTTTGAGTGGACAACTGGACACAAACTATAACAATCATTCATCTACCTTTCAGCTTAACAATGGTAATTTTGAGTCAGTGGTAACTTTTGAATTTGGGGCATGTTTTGCTGAAGATCAGAGACACACCTTAGGAAAGCTTTTGGTCTTGATCATTGCTTCGCCTTTCAGATGAGTCAAATTCACTCCTGGAGCCCTGCTTAGACTCACTCCTCTGTCCTTCTCCATGGCCCTGCCTCTGAGAAACAACACAGTTGATCCCAGGACTGCTTTGTCTGTGATAATTCTCTCTGCTCTGGTGGGTAGCTCCCAGGTTCGAGTCTCCTGAATGCCATGCTTCTTCTTCCTTGTGCCCCTTCCAGAGCTGCCTTTCAGACATCCAGGATCATATAGGAAAATCTCATCCATGTATGTCCCTCAAATGTTTAAAGTAGGAATATAAAGGTGTAGTTCAGTTTATCAGCCTTTTGTTTCTTAGGCAGCACTAGAGATTAACTCCTTCCACTTCTCTCCCTTCAAGAATGCTGCTCCATGGGGCCACAGAGATAGCTCAGCAGTCTAAGTCCCTGGTGGAGCATGCCTGTAATCTCAGTGCTGTTGATCCTGAAACAGGAGGATCACTATGAAACCAAGCTGCATAGTAAGACCCTGTACCAAATGCATAAAATTAAAAAAAAATTATGACACTTTTTGACTCAAACTGTTTTTTACAACAGGGTTTACTGACAGAATACAAAACATTTTCATACATCCTTCCATATTTGAACAGAAACAGGTTGCAATGTATGTGTATAGTCTCCATCAGTCTCAGCTGCTTATAGCATATGTTCCTCAGAAGTAGTATGAAGTGCCATGAGGGAATCATGCTCTATGACTGCATGGCTTCTCAGGCTGAAGGGCTCATAGTTGTTGATGGGCAGTCAGAGATACCCTCCAGAGTTCTGTATAACCTATGTAACAATGAGGTATTTTCCTTTTGGTCAGCATGTACCTTGAAGTCTTGAGGAAAAAAAAATCCAAAGATATAATTCCATATGTGTGGGCCAAATAAGGGAGCAAAAGGATAATTATGAATATTGCCAACTAACACTTTTACAAAGATGAAACAGTAATGACATTTTATAAAGAGCATAAAGATTAGGTCTAGGCTTTCCTCCGCAGTCCCGCGCTGTAGGTTCTTCTGAGTTGCTGTGTCCTTGACTGGTGTAAAAATGGCCACCAATTTCCTAGTGCATGAGAAAATCTGGTTCGACAAGTTCAAGTATGATGATGCAGAAAGGAAAGTCTACGAGCAGATGAATGGTCCTGTGGCTGGTGCCTCCTGCCAGGAGAATGGTGCCAGCATGATCCTCCGTGACATTGCAAGAGCCAGAGAGAACATCCAGAAATCCCTGGCTGGAAGCTCTGGCCCTGGGGTCTCCAGTGGGCCTGGTGGAGACCACAGTGAGCTTGTTGTCCGGATTGCCAGCCTGGAAGTGGAGAACCAGAACCTGAGAAGTG